CCCCCCCCCCTGGGTGACACGCTCGGTCCGGAACCCCCCTTCACTCCGTCACCGTCGGTCCCCTCTCTCTCGCTCTCTCGTCTCGTTACAGGATTGTGACAATATCAAAATACATATTGTCGTGTTTTTAAATAAACATATAAGCACGAGAGAACAAACTGCTCTTAACTGCAACTCTTTATTAGCATAACTTCCTCATGCAGGTTACTGCCATGGTACAGACTACAGGTTCCATGCTTCACCTACATTCCCCTGGGTCCTAAGTCCCTCCAAGTACAGCTTCTTATCACCCTCTATGTACCAACGTACATTTATAACAAATACCACACATATTACGGTAATCAGCGTTGCATATGTGTCTGACCAAAATTCCAAAAAAGCAAAAAAGAAATGATTCATTTAAATTATTTTTTTAGAGTTTTTAAAGTGTTGTGGTTTGGAATATGTATAATAAGCATATAATTTAGTTATCGCTAGTGAGAATTTAACAAACATAAAAAACATGACGTAGATAGGTTTGCAGTTTTCAAGGTGTATATTTCAAATTGCATCTCTTACACACATGAAGATAAAGTTGTGAACACCAGCTGAATATCTATTATCAGAATCATAACTATTTTAATTGCTACTGTGTAAAGGGAATACTGCTGTTAAAAATAACCTTATTTGTTTAAAGTTTTTGCAAACCAAATATTATTGCACTTTTGTTCATATAGCAGTACTTTTAAAATAAAAGTGCGCAATACACTACTTTTGAATTCATTATTGAACTTTACCATAACAATGCGATTTAATCGTTGCCCAGCACTAATAGAAATTAAAGAACACATTAAATAGTTTTATGTGCAAAATCACAGAAATTTCATCAGCTATGTATAGTCTATTATAGTTGTTTTGTGTCACTTTGTAAATGTTACGCATATTTCTATGGTTTTGTGTGTCCCTGTAGTGGTTTTGTGTCTCTTTGTAGTCATATTATGTCTCTTTGTAGTTGTAGTAGTTGTCTGTTATTGTAGTTCTTTGTTTGTTTGTAGTCTTTTTGTGTCTCTTTGTGGTTGTTTTCCCCCTTTTCACAGTCATTGTGAGCCTCTGTCTATTTTCAGTCGTTTTGGTCCCTTTGTTGTTTCTTTGTGTCTATTAGTGGTCATGTTGTCTCTTTTTGGTTGTTTTGCTCCTTTTCATAATCGTGAGTTCTTTTGTGTCTCTTTGCAGTACTTTTCTGTCTCTTTGTAGTCCGTTTATGTTTCTTTTTGGCAATTTTGAGTCACTTCCTGTCTCTTTGAACGAAATTTTGCAGGTGAAGACCAGAGGGGCCCTTACAATTTGGGCTCATGGGCCTGTGCCCTGTAGGCCCGTTCAGTAATCCATCCATGTCTGTGCCACCAGTCCATACTCTACTAGTATGAAATTATTATGTTATTATGTTTCTAACGCTGCCATTTCCCGAGTAACAATATGTATATTAATCATATATCATGAATATTGTGGAGTTTTTTTTGGCTATTTTTTGCCTTTTTTTGATAGTGACAGTGGAGAGAGACAGGAAATTTGGGGCAAAAAACAGGGGAATGGTATGCAGTCAACTGTCCTTTTGTCCTCAACTCTACAGTTGCATAGGGAACGTATGAGAAAAAGGTTGATGTTATCCAGGATACATTTGTGGGGATGAAGGAACATTTTTTCCCCCTGATACATAAAATTCTGGAATATAGACTAAATACAGTACAGTCTGAGTGATTGATTTTATTGATGTTAGTGTTAGCTTTTAAAGTGGAGCCCAGGAAATCTGTGACATCTTTCCTCAAGTATATTAAAAAGTGACCAAAACACAAAGCTCCAAGTGAATTCTGAGTAGATATTTCTCTGTGAAGCTGTTCCAGGAAACTGTCCCTTCTTCCGCGATTGTTTACTTTTCGAGAACTGAGATCCAGAAACTTTCTGTATAACCTCTTATTCCTGACACTTCAATCCCAAATGCTTATGTAACAGCAGCAGCAACATCCGCACTCAAGTGTATTTTTAGACTTTCAGAGTTAAAAACAATATACAGAGAATGGAGCAAAAGGAAAGCGGGGACCTTGTAGAGCACATGCCGTCGAACTCCCGGGGGACGTCATGTGTCTGACTCGATGCTGGGAGCAAGATGTAGGGATCAGAGGTTGGTTCTCACAGGAAACAGAAGGAAGTGGTGTTTGTGTTCACATAATGTAACTCAACTTTTACAACAACAGTGACCAGAACTTTGTGTACACCAGTCAAATCAAGTGGATTAAGACCAATCTGGATCTCACAGGTCAGTTCTGACACCTCTTCAGTGTTCTAGCCTCATACCTACTATATAGTCTTTTATACTGCATTGTTCAGGAACTACTAATCGACAATTTTATTAATTAACAGCCAAGTTTCATTTATACAGCCCAATATCACAAATCACAAGTGTGCCCCATTGGCTTTACTACGAGTACAGCATAGGACACCCTCTGTCCTTAGTCCATAAAGAGAGAGAGACTGCTAGTGAGAACCAAACAACAGAGGGTTATTGCGGTGCAATGGCTTCTAGGAAGTTTACATGGTTCTCGTCGGCAGCATGGACTGTAGTACTAGTCTTAAAGGTGCTAAATTTGAGAGGGAATTATAACCTTTTTTAACTTCCTAACACTAATCAGCTTATAATACATACATTTGTAGTTTTACTAATTTTACTCGGTATTAGATATAGGCAAAAAGGCAAAAATATTAGTTTTGAGTTTGGATTTACAGTTAAGGCCTCAACAGAATCAGACTGTCCGCACCATGGTCCTTCCTGCTTCGCTCCTCACTCCTTCCTTAGTGACTAGTTTTTTTATCGTATTGTAAACTCTTCACCTAGAAGTCATGTAAGCCAACAGCAACACATCATTCTTCTCAAAGCTTCCAGCCAACGGACGACACAAAATAGCATGGCCCATAGCCTGTTTCATTTCAAAAGACCCTCATAATGTACAGCATTGTGGAGAATGGATTTCAGTTTATGATCTACAAAATTTAAGGATGTCATCCATCAAGTGGCGCCTCAGCTGTACCAGAGGACGAAAGGGACTCTCGGGGAAGCCTTGAAGTCACCAGAGTAGCATTTGCCTGTGATTTGCATCTCGACCTGTAGCCACGTTTGCTGCTCACCACGTTAAGGTTGACGGGCAGATGTTCTACAAACTAGCCACACAGGTGAAGAAGTGGTCGGGTTGTTTCACTTTGTCGGAGATGAGTGGCAGCTTACAACGGACATCCTGTAGTTGTCAATGTCATTTCTATTTTTAGCTTCAGGACCAGAAATTAAAACAGAGTTCATAAGTTTGACCTCTGGCAGCCCAAAAAATGAGACTCTTCCAAATATAGCCGACTGTCTTACAGACTTAAATCATACTTAACTATGTTTTAGGGCCCCTTTAGGAATGTCATGTGCATCTCAACACTGGTGCCTATTTGCCTAACATACAGAAGCCGCTGCAGATTCTCCAGCGTGGCTGGAACCGGCACACAGAGAAATCAGTTCCAGCTTCAACTGTGGGCCCGCCATGAGCATGATGCACAGCAGGACCATATACAACAACATTACCCACCTTATCAGATATTACACAACTGAAGTGTTTCAATTGACCCTTTGCTAAGCCCTGTCCCCTGCTGCTACTCCTTCAAGCAGTCAGAGTAAGCATGGCGCCCACACTGTTACTAACTGCACTTCCCGAATAAATACTATATAATTTTTGGAAAAACAAAAAAAGGAATTTCAGAGAGAAGCAGACAAGATGGTCGACAATATGCGTTTGAGGGATATATCACAATGTCAAACTGATTCAGCAGTGAAAACAGCTACAGATCAGTGTAAAAATGAACCACCACATCACCTGGTGATCGAGACAAGACGATGAAATAAAACATGGTTCCTGTAAAGCCGGGTAGGTCTTTAATCTGTTACAATCATTAAAAAGCAAAAGCAGCATGTGTAGACATTTAGTATCCCTTCAGGGGCTAGCGTAGCATAGAAGTGCTAACGCTAATTATTGATGTGCTAATGTTCTCTGCTAATGTTAGCTACTGTGATGGAGAATTTTCCCTGTGCTAGTACTTTTCTACTGTGACTTAGCTAATGTGCCTTACAAACAAAACAATATATGCGATATATCATTGTGTACCTAGCTGAATGGTAACAAGACCAGATTGGGTATTTCTGCTTTTGCTTCCATAAGAGGAAGTAACTGTTTAGTTTAGGAACAGAAACAGATGTCTTTAGTGTGACAAGGCTCAGATAAGAGAAAGGGGCTGAATGGAGGTGTCAATGGGCAGTTAGAAACTGTTGACCAGATGTTTAAGTGTGAATTCCTGCCTCACACCCTGGGCTGAGACCCTTATAAGCTATACAGACGCACCACTCTCAGCTCGTCCTCCTGCAAACTGCACTGCACTCTGTATAATGACAGAGCTTTCTCTGTGCAGAGAATAAATACTCCAAAGACAAAACTTCTTGGTAACACTCTATAATAACTACACACTATGAAGCATTAATTAAGTATGAGTAAACACTTAATTCATCATTTATAAAGCATTGTTCCTACATTAACACTCATTAGTATGCTATTCACAACAGTTATAAATGTTTTTTTCTTCATTAATAAGCTTGTCTATTATGTTTTTCACAATTGTGTTTTCATACTTTATAAATGATGGATTCCTCATTTGTAAATTAAGTATTATATATATTACAAACTGTTACGGGTGTAGTTTGGACCCAGGGGCAGTAAGACAACACCAGGAATAGTTTGACTTGAGTTCTTTATTTTCTTCAACACACACGGCAGGAAGAATATTCTCAGGAAAAACAGCGACAGGATTCTGGTGGTCAAGGACAGAAGGCTGAGCAAGTTACCAGGGCAGAGGCAAGGCGAGGTAGTCCGAAACAGGCAGGGTCGGCAACAGGGAATCAGTCCATGGGTGTATGCGGGAAACTATTGCATGAAAGCAGAGAACGATCTGGCAGTGTGTGTGAGGCAGGGGTTTAAATAGTGAAGGAGGCAGAGTGAGCAGGTGAGAGTAATGAGTGTGACTGGCAGGTACCCTGAATGAACTGATTAGGTGAGTGAAAGGTGGAAAAAACTATATAGAAGTGGCAGAGCTGTGACACAAACCAATTATTAAGGAGCTCGTAGCTCTCTGCTCTCCATATTAATTGTAAAGAAATACTCTAAAAGTGATTTACTTTCTCTAGTTTTGGCTTTTTATGAAAGGGAAATAAATACAACTCTTATAAAAAAAAAAAATTTAAAAAAAAGAGAGGTCACTCCTAATGTTATTTTGTCTCATTCCCCTTTATCAGTGTGTGTGCGAGAGAGTGATTCCATGCATGTGTGTGGATACAATCATATGTGAATTTGACATCAACAACAGCCAAGTTTACTTAGGACTGCACTGTTTATCATGATTTCTCAAGTGTGTGTTACTCCACATGACACAGGAACAGGAGGGCAGGAAATCAGCATACTTGAATCCATCGTGTGCGAGAGAGACAGGAGGGAAACAACAAAAATGTGTCAGAATGGAGCAAATCCAGTGGTGGTGAGGAAGAACAAAAAAAGTTGTGCAGTCGGCAGTCAAAAGCAATTGCGTTACCTTGCAAGTAAACTTCTTGAAAGTGAAGAAATTGAAGCAGGCTGCTGGAGTTTGAGGTGGGACAATGGCTTGTATCACTATGGATCCAACACTGTGAAAGTAGAGAAAGAGTTTGTTGATTATTCATGAACTTAGCGTGCTAATGCTGCTGTTGCATTAAGCCATGTTAAAAAATAAGCAGTGTGTTCTTTACAAGTAATTATCATCCTGTTTGTTGCTACATTAAAGGGCCAGTGTGTGTAGGATGTGCCGGCATCTAGCGGTGAGGTTGGAAAATGCAACCAACAGAAACTTCTCCTGTGTGCCAAGCGTCTAGGAGAAGTATACTGTGGCCGAGCGAAAACGCAAATTGCTCTCTCTAGCATCAGGGTTCAGTTTGTCTGTTCTGGGCTTCTGTAAAAACATGGCGGTGCAACATGGCCGACTCCATGAAGAGGACCCCTCTCCTTATGAAGATATGAAGGGCTTATTCTAAGCTAATGAAAACACAATTCTTATTTTCAGGTGGTTATACACTAATGAGAACCTTGTTATGAATATTCCATTTCTGCCAATAGAGCCCCCTAACTAAATGCTGGCCCTTTAAGACTTTATAGATTCAAAAACATTTGATTTTTTTTATCATTTAAAGATAGTTTCGTTTTGCTCTTTATCTCTGCTTGAAGTTCGAGGCTACATTAGCTGCATAACCCAAAAGCATCGTGCGACAGAACTGTTTGTGGTCGAGTTGCGTTGTGGGTAATGTAGAAGCCTCGACAATGAAGAAGAATGTATGGAGAGAAAAGAAACAATTTTTTTTTTTTATATTAACTGTTGAATGTCTGATAAAGTTATAGAAGTGCTATGCTACATCGGTAGAGTACAAAACTCAAAATGTACAGCAGGCTATTTAACTTTAAAATAATTATGAAGGTGATCCAGAATTTCCATCTAAAAGGTGTGTACCAAACATAATAATTCTACGCAAACTAAAATGGAAAAAAAAATACTTTCTGCTTCACTTGGACATCCAGTTTATAACAGTCTGGATACACTAATCAAATGTGTAATGCTTAATTAACCACAGCAACAACACTTGCTATTTTTTTTAAACACTGCAGGTCAACTCACCCATGAACACTTTATTACTTTGAGTGCAGAATATTTAATGATGAAATCTAAGATAAGTGGTATATCTTCTCCAAAAATCCAGCATATTGACTCCACTGCATCTCAACTCTTCTAACAGAACAGGACTGGAGCAGTCGGCAATAATAACAGTGCACAGCACATAACAGCAACGACCAAGGTTCCGTTCTGACCATGAACCTGCACCAGAGGTCAGACTACTGGAGCCTCAAATTAGCTTCAATGAACGTTGGAATATATTATTATAATCATCATTATTATTATCATTATCATTACTATTATCATTGCCATGCCCACTTCTGCTAGAATGTCTTTCGCAAATTTGTGAAATATGCAAAACTCACTTTTCATACAACGCTGTGGTTTTTAGCAAAATTGGTTTCAAATGATTTCTTAGAAGCTTATTGTCAATATCAATTTTTATTTCGAAAAAAACAAACAAAAAAAGGCTCTAAATCTGGCACAGATCCATTATGAAGTCATAAAACATACTTCACATTTAATGGATTTGATAAGATTAGGCCAAACAGTGGTGCAAAGTGTGGCAAAGTATTTTGACGATACTGGTTTACAAATACCTTCTCCAATAACTCATGCTGGATGTATTAAAGTAGCCATGTTAAAGCTTTTGACGTTTCATGGCAAATGACACATAAAACTTCCTTGGTCTTGTGCGGCCCTCTGGTGGAGTGAGTGCATTTTCTCAAGCCTGTGTCTCTTGCACACACTTGGCTTGCACATTGTGATGCAGGTTAGACAGCTTTCGGTAACATAATGCATGGTGACTTTACAGTCTGCTGCAGACTGCTACAGGATTACCTTATATGCATTTAAATTTGTCAATGTTCAAGTGTAAAACTGCATTACTGCATGAAAGAGAAAATACTGTGCTAAAATTACACTCACTTGCTATCTTCCGTCTTTTTGGTTCTGCCATTATTACCTAATCAAATAACGTAAACGCTTTGATCAACTAATGCAATTAATGTAGGTCAATTATTTGTTCAAACTAAAAAATGCAATAAACACTGTCCAATTTATTAGAAATATGCTTAGGCCATATTCTAGTTTATTTTGAATAATCCACAGCAGGTCATTTGAAAATGGTCAGCAAGCCACAGTTGGCCCACGGTCTGTAGTTTGGCCAATCATAATGTATTTGCTCATTTATATCAATATTTGTCATATAACAATATGACAAATAGTATGAATGAAGTATGAATCATGCACTTATTGAGACTGCAGGTTCAACCAAAGCGCTAGAATCGACACAAGAGGCGGTGGAATAGCTGGATTCTTCTCCAATATTTAAAGCTGGAAAGAAACCCCCCTTCATTGAGAATCTTTTGAATAACTTGC